GACAGGCTGCTCTCTCACTCCTCTGAACAATTTTGAGTAATACATAAAGTATCAGGCAAGAATATTGAGCAGTGGGGAAATCACTAGGGAAACCATCAAGAGAAAAACACCTATGAAGTATTCCAGCCATCAGACAGGAAATAAAACATTATCATCCTCTTGCAAAACAAAGTGAGTCTGAATTTTCTTCTCAGTTACAAAGAATGTTCTCCAGAAAGATGAACACAGACTAGAGGACAAGAGGCTGGGCAGGTATTATCCTCTGAAAATATCTCTCTATAGTGAACACGTAAGTGCTTCCATCATAGCATCCTAATCATGTGGTCACGGCTGTGGTGCACTTATTAATTGCTTTTATTTTACACGTATAGGTCTTCACCTGTGTCTCGTCTGTTCTTGATTTGTCCATTTTTGAAGATAAATACATTTTGGAAGATCTGGTGCAGGAGCTTCAGAAGACTATCCCAGCCTTGAGCTTCAGTCCTTTGCAATCCAATGGGCAAATTTCTGTTCAAGGGTCATTCCCAGCAATCAAATCACTAAAAGACAATTTGTTATTAAAAGCAAATTCCCTTTCCAGGAAGGACAAGAGGGGAGAGAGAAAGCCGGATCAAAGACCTAACAGCAGGACCGAGAAGCGTGGACTATTTGTGGAGCCAAATAATACTTTTGTCCATAATGTAAACAGGGAAGAACAAGTGGTTGTCCTTGACACAGATATATATTGCTACATGAAACATTTTTTATACAAGGAAAGTCTGGCAAAATACAATGTTGTAAGTCGTGGAGTCACAGATGGTGAGATCACCACAATATATCTAGAAAATGCCAGAGCAAATTCTGATTCTAGAGAATTAGAAAGAGCCAAAGAGGGAATTGAAGATTTGTCTGCAAAACTTCATTGCAGATTACGTAAAGAAAGATTCTCTCTTGATGGCAACACCAGATCCGAAAGGCTGAAATATATAGAAGCATTTGAGAGCATAAAATCCCGATTCCCCAAAGTTCTGGTTATTCCTTATGATACTCACATTGATGTGATAGGAAGTTCCTCTGAGACATATGAGTTTACACAAGAAGTGAATAGAACAGTAAAAAGCCACTTACAAAAGAGATTCAGGAGGTAGGAGTCATTTAGGTGATGCCTGCAAGCTAGGACTTCCTGACAGTGACATCTCTTACATCAAAGTACAGTCTCCCAAGGGAGTTGGTAGAAGCCCTATTGCTGGGGATTTTTTATAAAGGATGTTTTGCACTTCTGTAACTTCCAGCGGAGGATTTCAAAGCACTTTGCAAACTTCAATTAATTAGGGCCCAATCCTGCTCCCATTAGAGTTTTTCCATTGACTCCACACGGCACCCTAATAGTATTAGGAGCCTCATTTTACATGTTGTGGCTCCTCTATCATTAAAAGAAAATGCAGGCCCTTCTACATCACTGCTGATACAGTCCTACAATATGTGCACAGGCACTTCTCACAGTACAGGAAGCATGGACACCAAGACAAAAGTCCCAAATACTAACTTAAATTTCAAACATGTAGCAAATGACCTGTTCATGCAACTGGTGAAATTAAAGTGTGTAGAAGTTAGTTTTCATAGTGAATGGACCATCCCTGTTTTATGGTTTTTACTCATCACAAACGAGTGCCTCTTGTGGCTGTATTAACATACACTCTTTTTATGCAAGTTTTTGTTTAATAAATCACTTAGTTTTACATGTAAAACATGTTTTGATAAACTTTTTTCTTTCTATATGCAGCAAATTTAAAGTAGTTTCATTTAACCAATAAAAAAAGTAAATGCTGTTTTTGTGCATTAATTGAATTCTAATTTCCATCCAAATACAGCTTGACAAGAATTATGAGTAAAAAATTCATCATAATCTAGTAAATAAAAAACATGCACCAATCACTATTTTGTAACAAAAAAATTGTGCCAATTAGGAATCTGAATAAATGTATGTTAAGCTACGTAGACTCATTGACTCATAGACTTTAAGGCCAGAAGGGACCATCATGATCATCTAGTCTGACCTCTTGCACATTGCAGGCCAGAGAACCTCACCCACCCACTCCTGTAATAGACCCATAACCTCTGGCTGAGTTACTGAATTCGTGATTTAAAGTCTTCAAGTTACAGAGAATCCACCATTTACACTACGTTAAACCTGTAAGCGACCTGTGCCCCATGCTTCAGAGGAAGATGAAAAATCCACACAATTCCTTAAATAACTGTGTAAAGGTCTAGTGTATCGTCCTGGTTAGCAAAAAGAAGTAGCAAATTTAATGTAAAGGCTCTAATTTGTAGAAAGTAAACATATTTTAATGGTTTCCAACCAACAAGAATTAATCTTTCTTTAGGATAATAATTAAGGTACAAAGGCAAAAAAATAAAAAATAAATTAAAATCACTTATTTAAATCAAGGTTTCCTTCTTGGTGATTTAAAATGCTTTGCTTTAAATCAATCCACCTTACTTGAGGCAGGGAGTATATTGAGGGTGGGGAAGAAGGGATTTTTAAGTGTTTAAAGAATAAATAAGAGGCCATTCACATACTATAAGGGATAAACCAACTCGGTATTGATTGTCAAAAAGGTACGTGTATATACCTTTAAATACTATATATTTGTTTGTCCTAGTAGGTAGTTACAGAAAGCAGGAACATTGTTATCTGCCTTTAGTATTTTCGTTGCAGGAGAAGCTCCTGGTGATAGAGATACACCCAGAAGGTAGAGCTTTTATACCTGGGAAGGGGGCATGAGCTCTGACCCCAGAAATGTAGTTTAGGGATTGGTAGCCATTTTGTAGAAACCTTTCCTGTTTTTTCAGTCAGCTAACCCAGCCTCCCACATTCAAAATGCATATTAGACACAAATAAGTGATAATTGGCCTTATTTTCATGGGACTATTGAACTCTCACTGACAGGCAGCTGCAGCTGCTCAGCATCTCTTACAATCAGACCAGTTATTTTGAATATCTCTAAGGCTTTGGCTACACTGGCACTGTACAGCGCTGCAACTTGCTGCGCTCAGGGGTGTGATAAAACACACCCCTGAGCGCAGCAAGTACAGCGCTGTAAAGCGCCAGTGTAATCAGTGCCTGCAGCGCTGCACGCTTGCTCGCAGTGCTGCAAGCTACTCCCCTCGGAGAGGTGGAGTACATACAGCACTGCGAGAGCTCTCTCGCAGTGCTGGCGGCGCGACTACATTCACGCTTCACAGCGCTGCCGCGGCAGCGCTGTGAAGTCCCAAGTGTAGCCAAGCCCTAAGTTTTGGAGTGAAAGTCTTGGTCACTGCATTAAGACTTCTGGCTTTGCTTCTATTTATATAGTTATTATTGACAATGCAGTGAAATGGACACACATTTCCACAGCAAGTCATCACATTCAGCAATGAATCCTGTGAGCAAGAGAGGAGTAATAATTTCCTGTACAAATGTAAGCAACCTTGAAATTGTACTGAAAAGCAACAATCACTCTAATAATTAATTAGAGAAATTAGGGAAGGAAAAGACCTTTATGTCATATTATCCGTCATCCCCCGTGCCAGTGCCTGATTGTTTCTGGCTGTGTTTTACAGTCCAGTTTTAAATGTTTCAAATAGTGGTGTTTCCACCACATTGCCAAGGAAATAACTCCACGATCTAATAGAAAATTAGTTAATATTTTAACGTTTAGTTAAATATTTTCTGGATCATAAAATCCTAGGAGCAGTAACTGCCTCTCTCTGTGCATTTGTACATTCCTAGCAAATGGGGATCTTATTCTGATAGTTGTCAATCCATATAATTAACAATAATAATCATGTTTGTATAGTGCTTGGAATGTAAAAAAACTGTATAAGTGCTTTCCATCTACATTGTTCCATGATGCCTGTCACCTTGGTATCTGAGGCTAAGTATGAGCCTGAGGTTAAAACTATGTCAGAGCCATTACTAAACCCATCTTTTAGGGCTTCATCATAAAAATTAATGGACTTTGTCACTTAATGTGATTTAATGATCTTTAGCAAATTTGGCTCTCTCAATGTCCACTGTAGTGGAGAAGCAGGGGAGAGTGAGTTACGTTTTCTTGCCATGACAAACTATCAGCCTTACTTATTATAAAAATGGAAGGTCCGGTTATTATTTTTTATTAATCCAGTGCCATTGTGGTGCATGGAAATTTACAGTCAAGGAAGAAGACAAGGTCAAGAATGAGCTTAAGTACTTTGCTATATCACAGTCTCAGCAGGGATGGAAATTTTAGAATGTTTTGAAAAGATAAAATCCGTTCATATTTGTGCTCATTTCCACTGTTCAGGCTGTAGTTGTTTTTCTCTTTGTACATCATTTTTAATACATTCATTTTTTCTCTACCATAATTTATATAGAAAACCTATATTAAAATTTCAGGTTTTTATCTTTATGGCATTGCTGTTTCTTATTTCAGTTCATTGTTTGTGTAGAGGTATTGTTCTGTTTTCATTGTATTTAACTTACCTTATAAAAATAATTTAAATTCCTTGTAAATAATAAAGAGTTTAATAAAAATTGTTACTTCAAATAATTGTAGGTCAAATCCAAACAATATCAGTGATTCTGGCACACTTACAAATCAGATGTCATTTGAACTATGATTTATAAACAGTTGCATAGCCCATCCTGCTGTCTTTATGGTCTCTGTTACATGGTCTATATTTATTCCAATTACATATAATAGGGTTTTCTTTTTCTCTCTGTACAGTTGAAAATAGTAGTTGAAACTTTTGAACAGATAGTAAAAGGGATGCAGTCAGCTGAGACAAAGGAACTAGAACACTAGGAATGAAATTCACCCAGGAAGCAAGGACCAGAGAAAGCCTCCTGTGAAATGAGCGTGTGTGGGGGTTGGGAGAGGGAAGTTCCATTGCACAGGGGGTGAATGGCTGAGGAGTTGGTATAAGAATGGCCAGACTGGGTCAGACCAATGGTCCATCTAGCCCAATATCCTGTCTTCTGACAGTGGTCAATGCCAGATGCCTCAGAGGGAATGAACAGAACATTGCAATTTAATGAGTGATCTATCCCCTGTTGTCCGGTCCCAGCTCCTGGCGCTCACAGGCTTGGGGACACTCAGATCACAGACTTGCATCCCTGACTATCTTGGGTAATAGGCAATGATGGACCTATCCTTCATGAACTTATCTTATTCTTTTTGAACCTGGCTATAGTTTTGGCCTCACAACAGCAACTGGTTCCACAAGTTGACTGTTTGGTACGTAGATGGATTCTGCAAACCTTGTATAATAGTAATAGCTACCTCATTATTCACCTTTAAATCTCTTCTTCAACCTCTCCTTTGCTCTGATTCCTAGAGAAAACTTGACAATGGTTAAGCAGCTGCTGTACTGTGACCACTGCTTATCAAACTAACCAGTATTATCTCATTGTTTCCTTGTATTCCCCCATCAAACTGTATCAATCTGTTGTCTCTTATCTTATATTTAGATTGTAAGCTCTTTGAGAAAAGGACCATCTTTTAGTTCTGTGTTTGTACAAGTGCCTAGCACAATGGGGCCCTGGTCTCTGATTAATAACAATGAATATAAATTCTTATTGTATGTTACAGATTTTTACACATAGTCTTTATAGCAGCTCTGTAAAAACAGCCATGAGGGAAGGGGACAGGGTGTTCATGAAGGGACAGGGTCTTGAGGTTAATGACTATACAGACCACATGGCACTGACTGAGATGTAGGAGGTGTGTAGAGGGCAGGACATGCATCTCCTGTTTCAGCTTGGGAACTGAAATAGTGACAGTGGAAAGGCTATGGAGCTGGCTTGTGGCTTAGAGAGTGACTGCCTTCCCACTCAAACCCCTTATAGGCCCTGATTCTGCAAACAGATGTAAACAGACAGACCCTTATGCTTGCAGTAGAAAATGGAGAGCATTGTCTCTGTTGTGACTCAGGCTAGGTCTACACTACAGCGGGGGTCCGACCTAAGATACGCAACTTCAGCTACGTGAATACCGTAGCTGAAGTTGCGTATTTTAGGTCGACTTACCTGGCTGTGAGGACGGGGGAAAGTCGACCGCTGCCGCGCTGCCGTCGACTCCGCTGCCGCCTCTTGCCACGGTGGATTTCCGGAGTCGACGGCAGAGCGATCAGGGATCGATTTTATCGCGTCTTCACTAGACGCGATAAGTCGATCCCAGAAAATTGATTGCCTGCCGCCGGACCCTCCGGTAAGTGTAGATGTACCCTCAGAATATTACAGTATTGTTTGCTGTACGAGATTACAAAATAGCATAGCAGGAGATAGCGTTTTTAAGAGAGGCAACTGTGAAACCAAACAACAGTTCAGTCTGGTGTTATCCATATTCATCATCCAGGTCCCATTTCAATGCATGTGAAACAATAATAAATGTTTAGAAAAAAGGTTTCATAGATTCCAAGGCCAGAAGAGACCATTGTGATCATCTGCATAACACAAGCCATAGAACTGCCCCAAAATAATTCCTAGAACATATCTTTTAGAAAAAATGTCAGTGATGGAGAATCCACTATGACCCTTGATAAATTGTTCCGATGGTTAATTGCGCTCACCATTAAACATTTACATCTTATTTCCAGGGTAGATTTGTCTAGCTTCAATTTCCAACTGTTGGGTCATGTTATACCCCTTTCTGCAAGATTGAAGAGCCCATTATTAAATATTTGTTCCTCATGCAGACACTTATAGACTGTAATCATTTCACCCCCTTAACCTTCTATTTGTTAAACTAAATAGACTGAGCTTTTTGGGCCTATCACTGGAAGGCATGTTTTCTAATCCTTTAATCATTCTTGAGGCTCTTCTCTGAACCCTCTCCAATTTATCAACATCCTCTTGAATTGTGGGCACCAGAACTGGACACAGTTTCCATCTGTGGTCTCACGTGTGCCAAATATAGAAGTAAAATAACCTCTCTACTCCTACTCGAGATTCCC